ATCTTGAGCTCCTGAGCTCTTATTGTTCTCACCCCTACACCCAAACAACAATAAATCACTCTGGCAACCAAAACCCTTCAAAGTAGAGTAGATCACCCTGACTGAACTATTCTATTTTTGTGTGTTGATCTCCTCTTTTACATTACTGCATTTATCTATTGTATTAATTACTTGACAGATGGTGCATAAAACTAATTTGTGCCTCATCAAATTTCACATATGATAAGATCCTTAGTGCAGACTACTGTCGCGAGTTAACATACCATGCCATGTTTCCAATTTTAGCAAAATTAGAGTTATTTTGCAAAATAATTAATGCTATCAGATAAATCCTGAGTAACATAAAAAAAGTCATTGTTTTTTTTTTTTTCGTATAGAGTACACACAAAGATTGGCTCAAAGGAAAAGAAGAGAAACTCTTTGAAAAGTAATTTTATTCGATGAATAAATCTCATACATAAATATACTTTAAATGTTTCCAAAATAGAAGTATATTCCTAATTTTATGAAAATTACAATCTCATTAATTGAAATAAAAATGCTGTTGTATAGAGTTTAGGGAAGTTGATGACACTGAAATTGATATTTTTTATAATTTATTATTAATTTTCTAATTATTTTTCCAAACAGCAAATGCGATAATTTGTAGATCTAAACAATGGCATTAGATTGAAAAACAATGGAGCTCATGGCGAAATGATAAGTCTTGATTGTTACTTCCCTCATGATCAATACCGGTCTCGTTTTATTTTGACTCGTGTCCATTTAGTTTATACAATTACTTTACCACCCCTGTTGCTGCGCTTCTCACAATCTTTGTACCCCTTGTGGAAGATTGAGTTATGAGAAGAGCAGCATAAATTCAGGCCTAATAAAAATTTGAGCAATACTATTGAGACTTAATTTATTGATCTAATTCACTATAAATTTTGTATTGATTGTGAATTTCATCAAATATTAGAACCTGTTGTTGATCTAATGATTCTAATAAAACCAATAATTATGTCAGTAAATTACATCAGATTTTTAGGTCCAAAGTGCATTACTCTAAAAATTTACTACCTAAAAGGTTTTAAAATTTTTAATTTATCCTTTCAAAGATAGAAATTCCTTATTGCCCTTGTCCACAAATTTATGTGCCAAATTGGAATAAGATTTTTAACTTCATCCCTCTTTCAACTGTGAAAAGATGAAACTTACAATGTCTTGTGAGTGAGGAAAGGAATAAAAGCAAAAACACTGATAAAGGGGGAAATGCTTGAAATCGACAAGCAAATTACAAAATATGAAAATGGCAATCTTACTAATGGAAATAAAAATCGTGTTGTATGGAGTTTAGGAAAGTTGACGACACTAAAATTAATATTTTTATGATTTATTATTAATTTTTTGAAACAGGAAAAACGATAATTTGTATATTTAACTAATATGATTAGATCAAAAAACACGGGAGGTAATAGTGAAACGATGAGTCTTAGTTGTTAGTCACATCTTGATCAATACCATTGGTCTTGCTTTATTTTGAATCTGATCCCTTTAGCTTATACTATTAATTTACGACCCCCTGCAATTCTCGCAACCTTTGTACTCACAGTGGAGGATAATAGAGTTATGACAAGAGCAGCATAAATTCAGGGTTATGGAAACTTTATCTCATTTAAGTCTCTAATAGTCTAATTACATTATTTTGATCCATGAAGTATTGATTATGTTTCTATATAATCCCTCAATCAAACAAAATCTAAATTGTTAACGATTTTTTATTATAAACTTATCACGTAATACTTAAATATGGACCAAAAATAATTTTTGTAGATCATGACCAAAATTTGGGTAATTTTTGACCAATAATATGTAATATGAGTATCTTAAACCAAAATTTAGATAATTTATGATCAAAATTGTGTAATTTGAGTAGCTTTTGGACTAAATTTTGGATATAAATTTAGTCAAGAGTTATCCAAATTATTTTTTACCCATATTTAACTATTACGTGATAAATTTATAATAAAAAATCGTTAGTAATTTGAAAATTGTTTACTTGAGGGACTATATAAAAACATAATTAATACTTCAGAGATCAAAATGATGCAATTAAAATATTGAAAACCAAAATGAGACAAATTACATACTTTGGATACCTCCAATGCAATTTAGAGAGGAAGTGAATTGAACATCTCTTAGGAATAGAGAGCTGCCCACCTTAGGTGAATTGAGGAGCACGAGTGTGGATCTATCAAAATATTTCTTCATATTGTACGAGTTAAACATGTTTATCTTATCAAAATCAAGATATATGTTCTATTTTATACTCATCAACCAGTGAAGGTATTCAAATCTATTTAAAACTTTTTAGATGGTAGCTTCTGGTGTAGTTAAGGAACATGTTTCTTTTTTGTCTTAATGTTATACATAGGTAAACATTTTCGAATCTCAAATCGTTGTAGACAAATAGACTCCAAATACTCGGAATAAAAACTGTGGAATTGAGTCAAGAAATCCTCTCAAGTTTTCTTGACTTAATGAAGATCATATACCTAATGCCCATATGATCGCATACTTGCAACGTTCTCTCCTTCCATTTTTGATATCATTCGTAACACCCCATTTTAATATTGTCAATTTTCCCCATATACTGGTGACGTAAAACATATATAGTTAACAAGACACCGTGGCTTAAGCTGGGGTTTTTTGAGCGATGCTAAAAAGCATCACTAGCTAGCTAGGACAAATAAAAAATAAAACAGAAGAAATAACTTATATAATCCAGGTTTGGACAACTATTACTATTTTTATTTTATGTTATTTTTTTACTAACGAGCTTTTGGTCCAATGATACTCCTTGCCTTGTGAAGACTTTGTCTTCTTGAGGTTAAGGGTTCAAGCCTCATTTTCCCCTCCCCGTCCCCTACCCCCCCCCCCCCCCCAAAAAAAAATAATAATAAAAAGATCACACCTTCTTATGCCCATTTCCATAATTTGTTTGAACCAGCAACTAATTCAATGGTTTTGATAGACTAAGTCAGCAAATTATATCCAAATAACATTATTATTCTCTGAAAGAACATAATATTTATTGTGACATAAAAATTATGTCCTATGCTGCTTCTATATGGTAATTGAAGGATTACAATTTCTCTAGAATGGGAATAATTTCTCTCACATTGTTAAGTTAGCCTACCTACTAAAATAAATGAACTCAATTATGTTCTTGCCATATACACAGATAAGCATTGTGTAGGTTTGATTTAAATGACACCAGTGAAGTCTTTGCATACACATATATAAATAACTAATCATCCAAATACTGTTATTTTGAAATTTTCTTTACCCAAATATCGTAGTTTAATATTTAATTACCAAATTATTGTTATTTAAAAAAAAAAAAAAAAAAAAAGCTTTTCAACGTAAAAACGTGTTCTAAAAACATACTTTTAAGTGTTTTTTATGTGTTTTCAAAACGAGCTTTTGCGTTTAAAAGAGTTTCAGCTTACAATAACTGTAGCTTCAGTAATTTGGTAAATAAGGTTAAATCAACATTGCTTTAGTAATAAGTTTTATAATAATTGTAGCCAAATAAGCAACTCGAGATATAAATGATACTTTCTGACGTGGCCTCCAGGTAGGACAAACTCATATTGCATCCATTTTTAAGAACCTACCGTAAAAACACAAGAATGATGTTTTTCTAGCCTAAAAAATAAATCTCATTAGAAAGAAATCTGCGCTATAAATGTAGCCCAAACTAAAGCTTAATATGGTTGAGAGCTTGAAATCGCACCACCTAGTAGATATGGAGAAGGCTTCATTCAAGTTGATTATCATTGGTACTGTCTTGCTCATTTCTACAGGTGGCTCTCTCTCTCTCTCTCACACACACACACACACACTGTGCTAGATTTAGGGGCATAATATGTGAATTGTGGGGATCAAATATTCTTTAAATAATGGCACCAATGGTGGATTTGAAAAGAATTTTCCATTACCCAAGCCAGGAAATCCACTTAGATTTTAAATTTAATGCAACTTAAATCTTTTCCCATATGAAGCCTATGTAATTAATATAGATGCCTTGTATCTTATAGCCACATAGAGCAGAAACATTGTTGTCCAAACAATCACAATGGTGTCGAAATATTTCACTAGATTGCCCCATTATCTACCTATAAATATAGCAAAGAGAAACTCATCTACTTCCATAGTTGACACCACAGCCATCAAGGGTCTTAGTTGCTGATCATCTTCAAAGACATGGAGAAGGCTTCAATCAAAATGGCTTTCTTATTCATACTCTTAGTTTTTGTGTCTAGTTATTCTCTCTCTCTCTCTCTCTCTCTCTCTCTCACACACACACACACACACACACACACACACACACAAACTTATGTGAGGGTGCATTTAAGTGGATTAGATAGGTTACACAAGCTCAACTTGACCTCAACATTAAGTCTTTAATCTGAGTAACATCTATATTTAAACTTTTGAAGTTAGGTTATATAACTCGAGTTGAAATTGGGGCTATATGGTTTGTTTTTAGTATTAGACAACTTGGATTGAAATTTTGGTCAATTCAAATATGGTCGAATTTGAATTGATCCACCTATGATGCAATCCCTGATAGGTGATAGCAAACATCCCAAAGATTTGAAATCTTGGTTACACAAAAGGTAGAAAGAGATCTTGATTGGAGGTCAAGACTGTGGTCTTACAAAAAAAAAAGTTGTTTATTAAAATGTAGATGAAATATAATGTATTATGTGAAAGTTGATTTTACTATACAATTAAAATTTTAATACTATTGATGACAACATTTTTACACTAATAATTTAATAACACTGAGGACAACATTTTAACTTCGCCACAATTTGCCCCCTCTTAAACGTAAACTCTTTGTTCTGTATCTGAATATATACATACAAACATGCACACGTCTATAAATTTATCAAGTTTTTTCAAGGAAAGACTTCATTCCAATGAATTGTTCAGCATTAAATATACTAATGGGTTTGAGTACTGAAACATTTTTTAATTAGCAGGTCTTCGTTTGGGAGGTGAAGCAAGGAATGTAGTTCATGTGCATCAATGCAAAGTTGACGCGGACTGTAAAGATCATTGTAAGAATAGCAAGGCTTACGCATGCGTAGAGACCCTGTGCCTTTGTGGGGGTAGAATCCATGGTTGGACATCGCCAAGTTCAGCACAAGAATTTCCATGGCACTAAAGGCCCATTCAAGGACAAAAATTAATTAAACAAATAAGTTGCATTAGTTATATGAAGGCTTGTTCTTCCCCCCCCCCCCCCCCCCCCCCTCTCTCGTTCTCTCTCTTAGGTGCTTTAGTTGTTTGTTTGGGTATGAGTAATTTTCAGGCTGTCATGACAATTTATAAATAAAATATTGCCTTTTTATTTTAACACTGCAGTTGATCTTGAGTGTGACCAGCAATAAGTTTTTATTTAATGTGCTGGCTATTCAATGCATACAATTTCCAATAGAAGGGATAAAACTAAATCAATTTTTTTGAAATTAAATAAACGGTACAAAAATCACACTTATTTATTGAATAATTAATAATTTCAGCTTAGTTCATTAATAGTGACTTGAGTACATTTAACATTTAAAAGATGTTGAGATAGTGAGGGAGAATCATTCTAATGTGTACATTGTACGGTTATGAACCTTACATGTATATGTATTCCGGAATTATATTTTTCCAAATTACCCCTCTTCGAACATACTATTAGTCATTCAAAAAACTTTTAAAATCAACAATACAGAGTAAAACACAATAAAAATCATAATTTAGGGTTATTCTCAAAATTTAAGGAAAATATAAAATAAAGTAAAATTTCATAATTTAAGGGGTATATTGTATAATACTGAAAACTTAAGGCGAGGCATGGCCCCATTGGCCATAACTCAGCACCATCCCAAGTGAATTTGACAAGCAAATTTCGTCAATAAATTTGGACCGAGTAACAATACTAACTCTCACTTCCAAAATCTCAATATATTTTCCTATTTGAGATGCTCTGATATCATCTGAATCCTCATAACCCTAGGGAGTTGCTTTTTCTAAAAAAAAAGAAAGGAAGCTAACCCACTTCTTCTATTCATCAAACTAGAGGAATAAGAGGAGGGATCTTTTTCAACTTCTCCCCTTTATCACTGGATCCCTTCCCTCGCTCCCTTCTTCAACACACTCCCTACTGATGGCCTCCTCCTCGCCATTGATTTCACCTTGCCATTCTGTTTGTTGCCTCCTAATGTCTGATTTCTCAGTGTTCTTTCCCTTTCTCCTTTGTTCCCAATTCTCATCTCATATTCATAATTTGCTTTCATCTTTCTTAGTCACCTAAATTTTCTCTTACCTACATTCTTCTCTATAACCATTTTTCTCCGTAGAAATGAGCTTTGCTAACTCTAGAAAAGCTCATGCTATAGCAATCTCTAACCTAGAAATTGTTATTGACAAATGGAAGGATGATAGCCTTCGAGGAATCACATCACAACCCTTAATTAACAAGGACATGGCTTCCAACCACAAGGTTGTGAGCCAAGCTTTGAGTTCACGTGCTTCAAGGAAGAAATTCAAAATTTGAAAATTAGAAACATTCTTCTAACCAGAGGAAAATCTCATCATCTTTAGCTACTCTCAATATAGTTGATGTGACAACTTATGTTTCCGGTGAAAATGGGAAGGGCAAGTCCACCCAGGGTTCTAACAGAACCCCCTCTTTATGAGTATAATGTTAAGTGACCAAATTTATGATGTTCATGTGGTGTTGTTGATAAAGTAATGAAGCAATGTTGACTAATCAATGTTTGGATTTAATGCTTGATTTTTGGACCAAAATGAAATGACATTCATGTGGTGTTTTGAAAGTTTGGTCCTGAAATATTTATGACCAGTGTAGTATTACCCTACTTCTATGCTCTATACGGGATGCGTGCACCATTTTGTTGTAACCAATGTCTGGATTTTAATTCTCTTTAATATATCTTCCCCTGATCAATTTCTACAAATAATAGATCACCAAGTGTTGGAATCCTTAGTTTTTAGTTGGTATAATTACTTTGATAAATCAGAAGCATTAATGATAATATATAGCAGAAATTGAAAATCACAGTCAATTGATCGACTTTATCATTTGCCCCAAGCTACTTGTTTACACAAGATCTTTAGGGTACCCCCGAAAAAAAAAAAGAATTTTCCCTCAGCTATGTCATGAGATCTATGTAGATATGCCATTTAATGACACCATATCAAATATACCATTAGTAGCAAAAATGATTTAATCAATAGAAATATTTATGCCATCGGGTGACTTTTTAATGCATATGACTTATATTGTCCATTGGCTTCACCTATAGATTCAGGAAAGGGGCTTCTAAAGTTGTCAACTTAGCACCATACAACAAACCTTTGAAAATTATGCAGAAGGCATCAATCGAAGTGGTGTTTATAATCTTGCTGTTAATTATTTCATCTTGTTAGTCTCTCTCTTTCTCTCTCATGTGTGCGCACAACCTTATATATCACAAACAAAATGATCCGAAGAAAGGTTTTGTTTTAGTGCAAGTGTTTTTCGTTTTCTATTTGTTGTTTGAAGTACATTTATTAGGTATTCTTTATTTTGCATACTATTGTTTTTGGTTTTTTGTACCTATGTGTATTCTTGTTCTACAATGTTAAATGCATGTAGAATAGTTTACATATGTACATAAGTAAGCGCATTACTTAAAGATTCTTTTTTTTTTTTTTGGGTTGCATTACTTTAAGTGTTATAACATGCTTACAAAAGTTTTAGCAAGCATGGCAATGGTAGTTTTCTCTCTCCTCTTATTGTGTGGTTTAATTTCATTAATTTTTCTTGGGTATATAACCCTTTTATCACATTGTCCCTCCTCAACCTAATTCAATTAGTTGAGGAGATGATGTAAAAAAGTATAAGTCTTTTATCACATTACCCCTCCTTAACCTCATGTTTTTCATATTGCATCCTTGATTATGTAATTAGTTTCACACCACCCTAATTAATAATGACCGTTACTAATTTGACGAAAATTTACTTCATTCCACCCTTGAACTATTTAATTTTTTTTCAGTTTATCCCGACATATACGCAATTGCCTTCAAAAAATATAAGGGAAGTTTGCATCTGGGACAATGCAAAATAATTCTATTAATTGAGGAGACGATGTACAAAATTCAATAGTTTGAGGAACAAAGTGAAACCGAGTCCATAGTTAAGGGGTCAAGGTATAATTTGCCCATTTTTTTCATTTGAACCCTTGTTTTATTAGTTAATCTAGTGCCTTTTTTAAGTATTTAGAATGAGTAATTTTACACTAACAAAGAAAAAGACTAGAAACAAAACCCAAATAATGTGACAACTGACATAATGAATAAATCTTGAATTTTAAATGAACAAAAATGAGACTAAAAGCATTTTTTTTTGTCGCATTTTTTAGCTAGTTTAATATTACTCATTTAGGATGGGTCCATTTCATTAAAAAATCAGGATAAGTGATGATGTACACATGCAAAGTTTTGAAGTTGAGAAATTGGATTGAAAAGTGAAGTAGCAAAAGATTTTCTTTTGTATCACTCTCACTCCTACGTTACCATTGACACATCCAATATTCCGGGTTTGTTGCATAAATGCATAAATAAGTTGTGCTTGTAAGGGCATCGAAGCTACATTTAGTTCTTAAGATTTAGATAAGCAACAAAAAAAGAAGTTGCAATTACCTTTGATCACCCTAGAGGCAGATAATGTCAGTAATATTCTTTCTGTCCTTCCTTTTTTCTAATTTCTTTTTTCCCCAATTGCATGAAGTTTTTTCAAGTTTGAAAAAATGATACAACAATGAATAAATGGATGAGTTCAAAGAAAGCATATTTCCTTCACTCATTTACATACGAGTGTATGAGATGTGTTCATTTAAGTTGTGAAGATCACCAATGACAATATGATTTAATCCAAGACATCCACTTTTAATTATAACAGCAAAATTGTTGGAATAGCTTTATGAATCAGAGTTTCAAAATTCACCTACAAATAAAATTGAAAAGATGACCAAAATGAAGTTGCAATGATATGGTGGTACTTTTGATCCCTTTTGTAGTTGGGTATTACTAGACTGACAAAAAAAAATGACACCAGCACTGTGTTAGTCTCTCTCTCTCTCTCTCTCTCTCTCTATATATATATATATATATATATATATCTGAACATGCATTACTGACTACTTCTCACCTGGAGCAAACTGTATATATGTGTTTGCACGTGGGCAACACATACATTCAAACACACACCCACACACCCACACATATAAATGTATCAAACTTTGTACAAAAGACTTGATTCCAATGAATTATTCAGCTAGTAAATATATTGATGGGTTTGGGTGAAACACCTTTGGGCAGGTTTTTGTTGGGGAGGTGAAGCAAGGAATGTAGTTTATGTGCATCATTGCTCAGTTGATGACGACTGTAAAAATATTTGTAAGGATAACACTGCTTACGCATGCGTAGAGACCCTTTGCCTCTGCGGGACAATCCATGATTGGACATCACCAAGTCCAGCAGAAGAAATTCCATGGCAGCATTAAGTAATGAAGGCTTATTTAGCGCCAAGCCAACAAATTGATAGTACTCAAAATAATTTTCAAGCATGAGGTCGGACCAGGAGGTCAGACCAAGAGGTCAAACAAGTAGGTCTGAAAAAGAAGTCAGGAAAGACACGCAAAGCCCAGGTTAGAGCTAGAGCTTCCCCTCCTGACGCGCCAACAGCGAAAGTGATAAGGAAACAACTGGATGATAATAGAAATCTGTTAGGTGGCAAAGAGCCACATTCAAGGCATAAAATCCTTAACCAGCCAAGATCCTCTCCTAAGATTAAGGAGAGTTTCTCGGATAAATAGCAAGGATCTTGGTGCAGATCTCATAGAACTAGTAACAGCCCTATAAATATTATGTAACTCTCCCAAAGCAGGGAGAGAAAAACTCGAGTTACATATACTCAATCATGTAAACCTTCTGAATGATGAGAAAAGAGAAAATGAGCAAACATCTCCATTGAAGGGTAGATTAGCCGAGCTCCTGAACTGGTGAACCACTATAATTCTATTGCGACAATCCCCCAATTTCCCATCGATACCAGTCCTTGCTCTTTTGAGCCTTGTAGCTCAGATCCTAATAGCCAGATACTGATCATTCTATCTACTCGTTACCATAAATTTGCATCACGTTAATTTACACCATCAGTTTGGCGTCGTCTGTGGGAACGATTGTTCTTGTTACAAATACGCTGATCTTTCAGTGACTGATGATTTCAACCCGTAATATGAGCAGAAGCCAGACCAATCTACCACGAATGCAAGAACAACAGGAAGCCACCAACGATAGACAACCTAAGAACGTCCCAGGGGCAAATCCCCCCATAGGGAATCCCCACACAAACAATGAGTTGGAGACTCTTCATCTAGTTAATCAATGTCTAATACAACAAAACAAAGAACTCTTGCAACGCCCTGAGGAGGCACGACCGGCCTAAGAAGGCTAGAATAACCCCTTTCACAGAGAGCAACAACATCTTAACCCCCTCCGAGAAGTAGGTGAAGGAGGAAAAAATAGTCAGACCTAGGGACAAGATCCTCATCCACCCCCAATGAACGGACCTAACGAAAAGGTGCAAAGTCAAAACATTGGGGAAGAAAGAAATGATTTTCTCCCATTGAGGCGCTGTAGCTCCTTGGTCGAGGAAGGTGTTTTCATGTCGAGAATGACTTTGATTTTGTCAGGGTTTGCCTCAATTCCCCTTTGGTTGACCATAAAACCTAGGAAATTTCCCAATCCAACGCCAAAAGAACACTTCTCAGGGTTCAGCTTCATGTGGTAAGATCTGAGAACATTGAAGGTTTTCTGAAGGCGATCAATGTGGTCTATCGCGGTGAGACTCATCACTAGCATGTCGTCCACATATACCTCCATTGTTTTTTCGATCTACAACTAGAACATCTTGTTTACCAACCGTTGATAAGTCGTTGCAGCATTCTTTAACCCGAAGGGCATGACCCTAAAGCAGTAGGTCCCATTTGGTGTAATGAACGATGTCTTTTCTTGGTCTGCGGGGTGCATGCTAATCTGGTTATACGCAAAATATGCATCCAAGAAGGTGAGCAGCTCATGTCCCGCGGTGGCGTCGATGAGAAGATCAATTCATGGTAATGGGTAGCTGTCTTTTTAGCACGCCTTGTTGAGCTCAGTAAAATCGACACAGAGACGTCACTTCCCATTAGCTTTAGTCACCATCACCACATTTGAGAGCCACTTAGGATAGGCTACTTCTCTGACTGCTCCGTTCTCTATTAACTTTCCCACCTCTTTTTTAATCGCTTGGGCCCTTTCAGTGGAGGCACCCCTTAGCTTTTGGTGAACAGGCTTGTGGTGAAGGTCGACATTGAGGCGGTGTGTGGCAACCTCAGGGTCAATACCCTCGAGGTCTGCATGTGACCATGCAAAGATATCCATGTTGAGCCTTAGAAAGTCCTTTAGCTGGTGGACCAAATCCTCAGAAAGGGAAGAGCCGATGGATACCTTTCTATCTGGATAATCCTCATCTAGGACCACTGATCTAAGCTCTTCTACTGGTTCTCCTCTTTCCAACTTGGCATTATCTAGCAGGTCAAGGACCTCTACTTGCAATGCTTTTTGTGATTTTCTGGTCTTCATTGAGGAGACGTAGCACTCTCTTGCAACTACTTGATCTCCTCGGATCTCTTCGACTCTATTCGAAGTTGGAAATCGGAGGATAAGATGGTAGGTGGAGGGCACAACCCTTAGGGTGTTGAGAGCTCGTCGCCCTAAGATAATATTGTAAGCATAAGGACAATCTATCACCAAGAAGTTGACCATGATCATGGAGCTGCAGAGTGCCACTCTGGCAGTGATAGGTAAGGTGATGGACCCTAGGGGATACACCTTCTCCCTTGAGAACTCAATGAGGGGCGACCTGATGGGCTATAATTTTTCTCTGCCCAAGTTGATTTTGTCATATGCATCTGCGAATAAGATATCTATAGAGCTTCTGCTGTCCACGAGAATTCTTCGTACTTGGAAGTTGGCGACGGTCATGGTGAGCACTAGAGGGTCATCATGGGGGTGCTGGATCCCTTCCAAATCTTTTTCTAAGAAGAATATGATCTCACTATTGCCATACCTGGGCGCCTTGGATGGGCGCAATTTCTCAAGGTGCTTAGCTTTTCTGGTATGAGCCTTCATAGCAGAGAGGGATTCTCCTCCCTCTGCAAGCCCTCCAAACATGGTGTGAATTTTCCCGATAGGTTGTTGGTCTTCCTGATTACAGGGTGGTGCTGGCGCCTGTCCTCTACCGACAACATACTGGCGTAGGTGATCCCGTTGGATGAGCTCCTCAATCTGCCTTTTAAGGTCATAGCAATCATCAATGTCATGGTCATGGTCGCGATAGAAACGACAATACTTGTTTGGGTTCCTTTGGTTTGGGGGAGACTTCATTCTCCCAGGCCACTTTATTACGGGGTCTTCCTCGATCTGTAATAAGATGTGCCTGACGACGGCATTGAGGGGGGTGAAGGCTTGTCGATCTCTCTGGGGAGCAGGACCGAGCCAATCTTTGGCATGCACTCTCTCCATCCTACTATGCTTGTTATTATTCTCCTTCTTATCGTCTCTGTCTTTTTCTTTTCTTTTTTCTCTGGCTCTAGAGGACTCCCCTCGTCTGACTCTTGTAATGTTCTCGGCATTCTTGTATTTCTAGGCCTTCTCTAGCAACTCTAGCATGCTCTTCAATGGGCGCTTCATTACAGAGAAAAGAAAACTTGATGACCGGAGGCCCCCTAGGAAGGCGGTCATGCTCACCTTATCATTGGACTCCTCGACCTGAAGGACCTCCTCGTTAAAAAGAATAAGGTAGCTCCTCAGGCTTTCATCTCGGTCCTACTTTATGCTGAACAGGTGGGTGGCAGGCTTCTGGTAGCGGCGTCCTCCAATGAAGTGTGATACGAAAGACCTGCTCAGCTCAGCAAATGTGCCAATGGAGGCTGAGGAAAGTTTGGCAAACCATTGTCGAGCGGATTCCTTAAAGGTGGTTGAAAACGCTCTGCACGTGATTTCGTCTAGGACGTTGTACAATTGCATCAAGGTTTTAAAAGTTTCAAGGTGATCCAACGGATCCTTCGTATCGTCAAAGGTCTCAATGGATGACATCTTGAACTTTTGGGGGAGTGGATAGTTTGCTATGTTAGGTTTGAAAGGTGTGTTGGTTCGACTTACGAGAAAATCTACTGTCTCGGGGCCCTGCGCCTTCATGGCATTGAAGACGTCACCCAATTGATTTTGCACCTCTTTAATTTTTTCATCCCATTGATTGGGAGGAGGTACTCTGGAATTACCACGAAAATGGCTCTCATGCTCCATGTTTTGATTTTCACCCTCGTCCTCTTTGAGATGAGGGTCTCCACCATAAGGAGCCAGAGCAGGGGCTGGAGTAGGATCCTCATGGTGAGCCCCCTTGTGTGGGGGCGCCCAAGGGAACTCCTAAAGGGGGGGCGCCCAGGGGGGCGGCTGGATGGGGAGCGCCAAGGTGAGGAGCTCCTTGATGACCAGGGAGTGGAGCTTCCCTCGCTTGAGATCCAAGCTGCGTTCCTCCTTGTTGCCCGAGCATCAATTGCAGAATTTGCTGGTTGTGGGCTATGAGTTGTTGCATGGTCTCCAGCATCTGCTGCGCATTTGGGACTAGACTGGGTGGAGGAGCAACGTCCTCCTCTCGTGGTGGAATGTCTTCAGGTTGATTCGTGGATCTAGTGGTGACCGCCTTTGATTCAGCAAAGACAATGTTTAAGTGAGAACTTTGTCGTTCTCACAGACGACGCTAAACTAATGATGCATAAATTGGTTTGTACACCACTAATCAGATGAATAGAATAAAATACAATAAAATAAGTAGGTGGAGAGAGGAAACAAGGTTAATAGTGGTTCGGTCAACAAGACCTACGTCCACTTTCAATAGCTAAGTTCGCTAGGAAGTTTATTAGCACCGGTGTGTTGGGAGAACGGAGAATTACAAGAGAAAAGAGATGAGCTTGATTTTTTTGAGATGCCTTCCAAGTGTTGGGGGAGTTTACAATTTATAGAAGCCTACGTAGTAATTGAGTAGCTTGACGGTTATAACGGACTAGAGGCAACTTAATAGCTGATGACCTCTCCTCTTCTTGGCAACCTCTCCTTTTCCTCAACGGGTAAGGGTATAGCTCCTGGATGCTCCCGTAGCTCCCTGATGGACTTGACTATCTTGGACTTTATAGGGCTTGCTTGATCTTCTATAAGCTTGGGTTTTTTTACCATGGATTGGGTCATTTGGGCTTGACCCATCATTATATATTTCTATGTGCTTTTACAACATGAAGGTTGCTAATGGCACATATAAATGGCAGGTGTGACATTCTCAAAGGTTTCTAGAGATGAAGTCGGGCGACGCGGGCCGCACTGCAAAGCTTCCGATGATTGTCTAAAGCACTGCAATGTAGGGTATGGGGCCTGCATTCATGGCATCTGCAATTGTAGGGGAAACCCTAACTACTTTGCAGCAAAAGACAGTAGTTATAATGTTAAGTGCAAGAGTGATGCTTATTGCAAAAGAATTTGTCATCCTAAATGCCCATCCACAAAATGTGTTGAGGGAATCTGTTTTTGCTAATGTATTTGATTGAAAGATGCTCGCCAGTTACTGATGAAGTTGTTTAAGATCTAATTTCACTTTACTTAGCAAAAAATAAAAATTTAATAAAACTCATTTTAGTATTATTTGCACTTCATATAAACAATGCGTTGAAAATAGTAGGTCACTCATATTCACTAGGCTTAAAAGTTAATGGGTCAGTTAGTGAAGCGCAGTGATACCAGGTTTGGGTGGATCAGAATTACATTGATTATGTTTCTAATTATATTAGAATTAGGATTATTAACTGGTATCCATAAAAATGTTTTAACTCTATTGGGATTCTTATACAAAGTGAAATAACTACTCCAGTGGACAGTTGGGACTTGCTTCAATTCAATAGTTACGATGGATTAGGTCAATAAATCAAGTTAGTATTTTAAACCTAAATAATGTTGTTGTACATTGAACATGCGTAAACACACATAGCTAGGGACGGAATCAGGATTTTATCTTGAAGGGAGCCAAGAACAACTAGACAAAAATTTAATTCAATAAATTTATTCAATTGTCATTGGTAATGATAAATATTTATTTAAAAAAATCAATTAAATTTATTTTTTATACAGTGGCATCAAAAAAAATTATTTTTAAGCACAAAACTCAAAAGTGGTTCGTGCCATCATAAAAATTCATTTAGGACCTTATGTCTATATCTATAAATAATCAATGTCACAAATAATAGTTTCATATGATATCATAATAAAAATGAATTATAATTCAACCAACTACTTGTAATATAAACCATATTTGTATCTCTAGTTTTTTTTTATTTATAAAAAAGTCACTTATTTTTTCTCTACATTATCAAAAATATCCAAGTGTCTTCGTCAACAAGCAACACTCACCCGTGTGATTACATCATAAATGGTTACTAAATATTAAGTCATTGATATTTTTGAATACACTAGGACTAGGTGACATACTTACACATCTGGTGTCTTGAAAAGTTACATAACAATAAATTTTTTTTAAAATATAGAAGGAATAATGAGAATTTTTAAAATTTGAGGGGGCCATGGTCTCCTCACAGCTCCGCCTCTGCACGTAGCTATACATAATACATGAGAAGGCTACATAACTGCAGAGGTACCGTAATTTGAATGATCCACAACCATTGCTTGAAAAATAATAATGTAAGAAAAGTTTACATATACTTTTATTGGGTGAAAATTGAAAGTACAAAATCAAAAAGTGATATTTTGGTACCGTAATAAAGCCATAACATAATATATATCTTAATGTTCTGCGAAAGGTTGTCGATATTGCAGTTTACAGCTACCAAAATGGAATGGTGGTTTATGACTTTGTTTTTAAGCAATATGTTAGGTATTGTGATGCTCTTAGTCGTAAATTTTTCTCGAGTATCAATACACTGTTTACTTTTCCAAAAAAAAGTAGTAACATACATTTTAAAAAGCCATATTTCTTGCTTTTAAATCTTAAGTTGTTCTTCTTCTAAGATCGAATCAATTGTTCTACTTATCTCTTTTTTCTTATATTTTTCAAGTTAATGGTGCCAAGTAGATATACTTACGATTAAAAAAAATTACTGCATATTTGGAATCTAATCTTAATTACCAATGAAAGATGGTTAGTAAGAGGAGATTACTCATTTAATAAATGCTGGAAATGTAATCAATTAATAAATGCCATCAGGTACCTTCCATCCTTGTAAATAATTACATTAAGTAGATATGGCAGCACAACTCACTTAGCAAACTTGAAACTGCAATTATTGGTCTTGCTACCACTAAAAAACGACGTCCTCATATTTGATACTTACCCATCCATTATTCTCCAAAAAAAAATCCTCTCTACAGTTGCCCGGGATTGTTGTACAGACCAAACAAAGATAAAAATTTTACGTGCCAATATAACTTTTTATTTCTTGCTTTACTCCTGTTTTCCGATCAATATCCTCTCTTCCTAGGTGGTCAAATAAGAAAGGAAATTCGTCATCCCTACTATTTTTTTTATATTTCTTCTATAGGCACTGAGTAGAGTTTCACATTTCTTATTGAATTAACCAATCAACTTACAATCGGGTATTTATTTTGAATTTGATAATTTGACCAAAAAAATTGACACATTTTACTTTAATTACAGTTATTTGAAACAATCCTACTACATATGATTAGGTCTGTCAAAATTCGATACGACACGAATTAAGCGGGTTTGGGTGAGATCTTAACGGGTTTGGGTGATAAACAGGTTGACACGCCAAACACGTTTAATAAACGGGTCGTGTTTGGGTGAGACCTGTCAAACCGTTTATCACCCGTTTAACCGTTTAAATAAATTTAACATAATAATAAATGAGTAAAGAAAAAAAAGTAAAAAAACATTTCAAAAAAAAAAGTAAAGAAATCAGTTCAAAAAAAAAAAAAGAAACAAAAGTTTTTAGCCGTTGAAGCATTGATCTGTTTTTTCTTTGAATCCCACATTGGCAGGGAGAGTGGAGAGAAGGGACTTAGTTGCTTATAAAAGAGGTAGTGGTTGTTTTCTTCACAAGTGGACTATGGTGTGGCTTAACATGACTGAACATTGTGGTGTGGTTTGTCATGTGGCTAACCATTGTTGACTGTAACTCCTTTAATTGAGGAAAGTATGGTTGGGAAAAAAAAATTAAGAGTGTAAAAATTTGTTAAAATAATTTTTTTTTGTTATTTTTAAATGGGTTAAATGGGTTGTGTCGTGTTATCCGTTTATTAAACGTGTCGGGTTCGTGTTGAAATTTTTTACCCATTTATTAAACGTGTCGTGTACGTATTCACATTTTTTACCCGTCACCCGTTTAACCCTACACGTAACCGTTTAACCCGATACGTTTAACACCTCTACATATGATTCTGGGTTTTCCATGCATGGGGAAAAAAACCTAGGCCGTGTTGACCAGCCATTGTTAGGAAGATCAATTTGGCAGCTCGCAAGGCTCAATGAGGTTATGACTCTCTACAAAACAGGAATATTGCACTACTCAAAGAACAATAAGAGCTCCATTTAGCGCCCTCAATGATCCACCCACGGGGGTGCTAGGGTGGGGGGAGATAAGGAGAAATTTGTCAAGTGTTCAATGCTTTCGTTTTTTATATTTTGTAATCGAGAAACACATGCTAATACATGGTTGCGTGTGAATTATTTCAAAGAAAGGGGTGACCGAATTCGACAAGGTTGTTTACTTTGATCCAATTGATCAGTGGTTTTTGTTTACTAGCGCGTAGGTGGTCTAAGTTTCTATGGTTGAATTTTTATGTGCCCCATAACATTTTTTCTCTTAATGTATAAAAGATGATCCCTCTACAGGTGAGAAGTGTCGAGTGCCCACTATTGGCCATACCTGATTTGGCTTCGATGACGGAGTTCTGGGGAGAGTCGCTAGTTGGGCACTGGATCCCTTTGGATCTGACGGACATGTGACACTAGGTTCAGGTTTGGTGTTCACTCTTCAATCACTTGTTCAATCTCTCTAAATAAATTAATAATTTCGTGTTGCGGGGTAAGTTTCCATCTATCAATTGTAGTAGATGAAAGAAGGAGGGAGGTCCTATTTTAAAATTTGAAAATAGAAGCTATGGATAGAGTCTCAACTTCTTATATTTATATCAGTATCATGCCCTCCCTTTTTATAGCAAAAATCAAATTGTCATATCTAATGTAATTAAATCGATATATTTCTCTTTCTATAAAATTTTCTTTAATATATAGTTGGTGTCAAAAGATATGCACCAAGAGTTAGCTTCCACAGGCGGAGTCACAATTGTATAGTCCATATCTAGCAACCCTACCATCTATATTTATATCTATATATTTCTACAAGATTCTTTTAATCAAACTTCCTTTTCCTTAAACATAGGATGTGTAGATCAACTCTCTATTCCAGAACCATCGCCCCAGCGACACCACCACCCACCAAATTTCTATAACACCACCACTGGGAACCATGTAATCTCCTTTCTCTCTCCTCTATTCACACAATCCTCTCCCTCTCCATCTAATCCCCTTTGTCGTTTAAGTTGAGCCCTATTTTAAGCCCTATTTCTTTCTTTCCCCTGAACCTACTCCCTCTTCCCCTTCTTAAATATTCTATTTCCACTTCATTTTACCATCATTTTTTGGGTATTTATGGCTGATGGTCAAGAATCTAGTGGAGGAGGTGTTGAGGGTGAACACTTGCCTGAAAGTGGTCAAAGCAAAGCCGAAGAGTCAATTGAGGCAACTACCATCATCACCTCTGAAACAGGGCAAGCCCCAGTTGGGCGAGATTGTACATTAGCAAAAGAAAGTAGACTTTATAAGCTTGTCACAAAGAACGAACTCCTGAGGCATCTATTCACCATTAACCAGACTTCTGACCCTCCCCTTGAAACCAGGATTGACCGAGGTAGAAGTTACTCCCGCGATGGTGGCCGTGGCAATGGAGTGGGTAATGGGATCCGATGGTCCGAGAAAAAAAAAAGTCTAAAAATGGCGATCTCATCCAAGCTGGGAAAGGGGCAGAGCACAGATGCATGTGATATTACTTCAAGCCCTAGTTCAAAAATCATAGATTTGACAAAAAATGGAACAGGGACCTTACCAAATACACCCAAATCTGGCCCTTCATGGGCATCCATGGTTAAATCTAACCCTAGGTCCAAAGTGGAAATGATATTTATACCTTCTTACAAAAAGGATGGTAAAATAGTAGTTAGACCCCTTAAAGAGGTTGCAAATGAAGATTATTCAAAATGGGAAACCTGCTTGGTTGGTTTTTTTGTGGGGAAAAAGTTACTTTTCCATCTAGTTAGGTCACCAACTATGGGATTATGGGGTTCCAAAGGGCAGCATGAGGTCACTGCAAATCAGAATGGGTTCTATTTTTTCAACTTCTCTAGT